TTCTTGACCTAGATGTGAGTAAGTGCTGAATGCTGTCATGCATGTGATTTAATACATAGGCTCAAGTTTTTCTTGAGACTTGGCTTGTGATAGTGATTTACCTTAAAACTATACTTTGAGCCGAAAATTTCAATATTATTACACAATGATTACAATCCCTGGTTTGGTAAAGTGTGTGTACATGGAAGTGTAAAACATTCAGAAAGAGTAACTTTTTCTAAGAGGTACTGATAATTTAATGAAATTTTTTTTTTTTTTTTTTTTTTCTTTAGGCTGTTTTTTTTTTTTTTCTGTAGGCTGATATTTTCACTTGTGCCAAAGAGACCATCTGGGAGACCACAGGTAAGGCATATTCTAAATGATATTGATGATTTTGGCATGCATTCCTATCACTCCTATACCCTATATATACTCATGCATTGTTTTAAGATCTGCTGATCTAGGTTAAACACTGGCGTAAAGTCCAGATACTGTATTTCAACTACACATTCAAAGAGAGAGATGGTGTTTCACATCTTCATATCTCTGAGTTTGATGCTCCAGTATTGGTTTTGGGGCTGTGACAACAAAAGCACTTGCAATAAAACGATTTATTTTTATGTAATCTTTTCATGATGATACCATATTTTATAATTTTTTTTATTAGAAAATAGAAACAGAGTTGTATGGTCCACTGATGGTTGTCTTCACATTGATTGCTTTTCTTTTAATGGAGATGAAGTCATCCTCACATGTTGTGGTAAGACATACTGCAGCATAGTTACTTTCCTCTTTTTGTAAAAAATACGTTTATACTAATTAATAAATTCATTATATTATTGATTGTGTAATAATAAATATACAGGATTGATCATTACTAAGTAATAAACCAATTAATACTTAGTAATTATTCAAAAATGAAATAATTAAATAATGACTAATATATATTTTTAAGATTTTTAAAAAAAATTTAATGTTGATATAATAATTTTGAATTACTATTTCTGTTCTTGAAATGGATGTGTTAGAGTTATTAGGGGCACACCATCTCCGGTGCATCTTTTGCTCCTCCGAAGCTGTCCCCTTATGTTTTACTGTGAATTTTTTTTATATATATATTATTTTGTATTGATTTTTATGCTGAAAAGAAGGAAATAAATATATTATTATTATTATTATTATTATTATTATTATTATTATTATTATTATTATTATTAATATTATTAGCTCAACACAGGTAACATAATCTTCGAAATGTTTATTTTCTTGATAATTGTAGCGAGAGGGAACACTGATGGGGTCTGCAATAGGATTATGCTTTGGATACTGGTTTATCGCATCTGGTCTATTCTACACTGTCGCTTATATTTGTAACACTCAAATTACACCCTTGCAAGTTTTGTCACTAACAGTAAGTAACATCTACTTTTGTTATTCACAATTATTTGTACATTACTGGTGGTACCGTATCTGAAGAATATACTTAATAATGATAATGGTGGACTTGTATAGTGCATATTTTTAAGCCCCCTATGCGCTTCACATTATCATTACCCCGGACATTTGAGTAAACTCCTATGAAACACAAACTCGAGCTACCTGGGGGAGTTTTCCATAACATTGCAGAAGAGAACCAATGCAGATAAAGTGCCTTGCCCAAGGACAAAAGTAAAATGCACAGCGAGGGATTGAAACCCTGACCTCAAGGTTGGGAAACCAAGCCGTTTCCATGGTACCAAACAACTTCCACTTGTCTTATTATTTTATTATTGTAATTGTTATTGTCAGTTATATCAAGGTAATTCAACAAAAGGACGCACATCTCGGGACATCAAAGGTTATAACTCTGGCATCGACATTCTAGGCGCATGTGCGTACCTACACGCTGAACGTCACAAAAACCATAGCAACCAGACCATAAACCGTCAGCGTACG